CTCCAAAGAATAGAATAGGTCTTCAGCAGTTACCTGGGCACCCATGCTTACAGCAGCTTTTTCACAGTAGAATAGGCAGAAAAAAAGCAAACAAACAAATATCCATTCCTGGATGAATGGTCAAACAAAATGTGGTATATCTACACAGTGGAATATTATTCAGCCTTAAAAAAGAATAAGCTTCTGATACACGCTACAGCATTAATGACCCTTGAGAACATTTGCTCTAAGTGTAATAAGTCAGTCACAAAAGGACAAATGGTGTATGATTTCACTTCTATAAGGTCCCTACTTTAGTCAAATTCATAGAGACAGAAGGTGAAATGGTGGCTCCCAGGCACTGGGAGGAGGGGATGGTGAGTGTTTACTGGGGACAGTGTTTCAGTTGGGGAAGGTGAAAAAGGTTTAGAAATGGGTATTAGTGAAGGTTGCACAACACTTTGCACGTATTAAATAAGACACTTAAAACAGTGAAGATGGTTTTTAAAAAATAGCGGTATTGGGTTAACTTTTAAAGTTGTGGTAGGAACCATCCGGAAGCCGAGCAGTCGCTAATACACAGTGCTGGGAGACTAAGGACGCTGCAAGACACTGAGGTTTTCATTACGATCCTTTCAGTGCTACCTTACTTTTTAAAGTGCCGCAGTAACATTTATACAGTGCTTACTGTGTGCCCGGCGTGCTTTAAAGTGGTAGCGCATGTGCCCACGGATCCCACTGCTGCTGGAAGCAGGTGCCGCTAAGGGTCCACAGGTTGCAGAAAAGGAAATGGAAAGACTCTGAAGTAGAAGGGCTCCGCCCAGGCAGGCTGCCCCAGAGTCCTCCCTGCCCGCCATTGTCCCTTTTCCCTGCCTCTCTCGTATCTATATGACGGGGGGATGAAAGGAAAAAACTAATCGCAAAAATATGCTGCAGTGAAAATCCTTATAGGCATATTTTATGTGCTTGTGTGAGGATATCTGACTCCCAGGAGCAAAATAACTCCCACTTTTATAAAAAGACCAAAATGTGACATTGAATTCATCATATAGGCATTAAAAACTATTAGAATAATGCCAATACTGACATCATACTCACTGAATTATGGAACTGAAGCACAGAGACAAATGACTTTTCTACGTATTCATAATTTTCATCAGGTTCCCTCTAGTCCCTCTAATTTGCCCCCTCACCTCCCCGTACAGTAATCATCAGGATGGCACCTG